CCATCCCACCCCCGCCGTGCACCTCTCCCTCCCCCGGCGAGCCATCCCACCCCGTCGCGCGCACCTCCCTCCCCGGTTAACCACCTTCTTCCCCCGGTGAGGCTGCCCTTGGTTCCCCTCCGGCGGCAAGGACAGAGCAGCAAGCGGCGCGAGATCGACGAGATCTTGACCGGCGGCAACGCCCCAGTTAACCACCTTCTACGGGTGCGGGGTTATTACGGGTTCCAACGTCGAGCACAAGCACGAGCTCCTTCTCCAGCGAGAGGTGTCAGGTAAAAATGTACTTCTCTTCATCGTGGCATTCTGTGGCATTCTTTTTACTCCGGCGGGCGGCGAGGAGATTGAATGAAATTTTGACCTGCTGAGTGGAGAATTATGGGAAGTACGAAGGTAGCAGTAATGGGAAGTACATACAATATTTAGGTAGAAGTACAGAGCAGTACAGCATGCGAGCGAGGAAGTACCTGCTGAGAATTATTCCTGATAGGGAAGCAGTACCATAATTACACTGAGAGAAGTACCGAGTACTATGAAGTAGCAGTACAGGGTGTCCTTTATGCTAATTTGGTACTCATCTTTTGCAGCTGCTACTTGGAGCTGTGGAATTAGCAAGCTTAGGGAAGTGCAAAAAGGTTCTGTGTAGTGAAGAGTAGCAGTATAGAATATCTTGAAGCAGCAGTGCTGAGCAACACAAAAAATCACTAGAGGTGAAAACTATAAATATCGATTTCGAGAAACTTCCTTGTGTCAATTTAGATGAGCTCTGACAATTAGTTTGTCATTTTGTCATTTAGTGCGAGACATCATGCCACCCCGTGCAGCAAAAGTGCCTACTTGGTCAAGAAAAATTCCCAATGAAATGAAGAATACGAGAACGTCTCCAAGATTTAAGCAAAGTTTGACTTGTTTGCCAAATCGAGCAGCTGACTCAACTGCAATTGCACATGTTGTTACACATGAAAACGTCGATCCCTATGCTCGAACTGAGGTGAGGTCCTCAATCAAAAGAAAAATGTTTACAACTCATTGCTATATATCGTTACTAATTGCGATTCTGTTATAATAACTGTACTACAATACTACACTTAATACATTTGGATTTTGGATTCTGAATACCTATTATATTTTTTAAAGCAGTACAACAATATCTGTGAGAAGAAGTACAAATTTACAAATCTTGTTTTGTGTCACTATATTCATGCTCATGGTTATCAAAAAAAGAAGTATAGGTTTTGATTTCAAAGAAGTACATCTAAGGTACAGAAGCAGTACAGCCATGAGAAAATCAGACAATTCCTCATCAATTTTCTGACCACTTTCAGTCTGATGATTATGGTTTGCCATTGGATGCTACTCCACTTGTCACGAATGCAGTGCCTCTGCGGTGCATAATCGAAGATCCGCCAAATTTTTATGTCACTGGATATTCACCTGATCCTAGCAGCATGGAGCCGTCGCTGCAACCTCCGAGCAGTTTCGTTTTCTCTGGATCATCAATATGCCGAAAGCTGGCCATACAAGTAAATGTGTTGGGCCACAAGTGCCACCACGTATTGAGCGTATTGTGCGTGAGGTTTCAGGCATGCAGAGTAGCCGAACAAAAATTCCTGAGATTGGGGCTTTACATCCACCATATGTGGATGTGGATTCTGCACATGCTGATACAAGTACGCTCAACATGCATAAAGTACCTGCGGCTTGCCACACAGCTGGAAACACCACAAATCGCCGCCCTAAAATTGTTCATGGAGTAGCAGTTTTGCATCCTCCGAGTCGTAAGCAGCCAGGTGTGGGTGATCATATGCTGCCTCCAAGTCCACCTTCATCGACTTCAAAGCAACAACCAGTGTGCAACAATACGTCAAAGAAATTGCTGGTGCACCTGAAACGTGACCCGCTACTGCACAAATCAGTGGTTATGCCTCCTTGTCCGATACAACCTGACGACTGCATAACTCTAGAGGAGAATCAAAAGTATATCCATGTGAGTATAATAAACAGATGTTATTACTGCATTTTCATAGTCAAACTACCTCTTGTTTACAAAGCAGTACAAATGTAGTTGAATAGCAGTACCTTTTTACTTGTATATGTAGTAACTCATATGAAGTGAAAAGCAATACTATGAACAAGTAATAAATGATTGCATCTGTACAGTTTTTCTTTGTCTAACAAGGATCATTAAAACCACACATAGTGCGGGAACACACCCAAAAATGGTTGTTCCAACTATCTGCTCAGTGTTGTATTGGCACACGGTCGGCACGTTTGTCACGCCGGCACTGTGCAATTGATTGGAACAAAAAAACATTTTTTGTGTTGGTTTTCTTCACATGAAGGTGTCATAAAAAGAAGTACA